TAAAACACTTAATTATATGCAATAAGAAGATAATGAAATGATTAAGAATACGTGAACAAGAGTTCTTTCCCTTTAAAATGAAATTTTGTTAGGTGTATCCACAAGGTACTTCTAACATACACATTTTTTGAAGGTTTCGTGTACCATCCAGAGATACTCTTCCCAAGTCAACCTTACCGACCTGCTTCACTGACCATTCTGACCCTAGTACTTCATCTGTCAAAATGTTGTGACGTTTGAACAATTCATAATTTGAATTGAGGGAGGAGTTATCAACATTTGTTAATGTGTATATATTAACATAGAAGGATATAGCTTTTCGTTTGGATTTTTTTATGTTGATATGCTACACTCGATTACTCAGCACAACAATGGGTTAAAATGATACTGTAAAATGTAAGATAATTAGACCCGGAAGACTAGTTGAAAAATGTGACTGATTTTTGCAACTGTTATGCAAATAAATCAATGTGCTATGGCACTTATAGTCTAATACTACATATTCCATGCATGATAAAAACTTGATTCAAAATCAGTAAAGGACACCTTTTCATTAGGACCCTTAAACTTAAATTTCCACAAAGATATGATAAAAACACCATGTTTTATTATACAATAACAAACTACGTCATCTATCAGTAGGCTAGTAACAAAATTTTTGTAATATAAGAAAAATCATTCAGTGTTTTGTCTCACAAAGTAGCTAATACAGTCAATTAGCTCTATTTCGTTCGAACCTAATTTCGTGTATCTTCGAAAAGGATAAATATTATTATACATGTGTGACCTCTGCATTTGCAATTTTTTCAAACTGTCAAACTGAAAACATATACAGAATGGCGGATTTCGGTTATTAACAAATATCACAATTTTTTATCGGCCAAATCCCAAGCTGTAATCGGAATTTCAAGTGTCGTCTGCTAGAAAATATTCCAGTGAACAAAGTCGCGCGACAAGCGGATTCCATGTTAGCAGAAAAATTCTATGGAACACAATGTGGGCCATATTCTTATGTTGTTTCAATGAATTTCAGCAATTAATCACTCTTACGTTTTACTTATCATATTTTGTCAGTCACTATATTTTTTTGTTCTTTGAAAGACTTGTCACTAGTTATAATGAAATATTGTTAAAGATAAATACTAAAATACACCAAAATAGGTGAAGCATTTTATAGCCCTTGTCGAGTTAGTACTCATGAAATATGGTGGAGGTGGAGGATTCATTCAATACGCGAGGATGCTAGAGGTTAAACCGAAAGCTCAAGAGTGTAGGCGAGACAAGATGAACTGCGGACGGCTAAGACGACCAAGACGACACGAGCCGACGGTTTTGATCGGATACTGTTTTGTTCAGCATGTTACAAAATTATGGTCGGTAGTGTCGGGGCCAAAACATTCCTTAGAAAAGGCCTCATAAGCAAATTTGAACGACCGAAGACCGTCCAAGGATCTTTTACTTTCAGATTCCTGTGGCTCCCTTCGCCAACATACGCTTGCGTTTGGCCACTCTCAGCCGAACAACGTAGGAAGATAGCTCACTTGCGTTGAGAAGCGGGTCTCTACATGGCCTTTGCCGTGTACCTACCCAAAAACGATCGGTCGAGGAACGTCGGTGATTCGTACATCCGCAATAATCCAGTGGTTATGGTACTCAATCGAATAAAAAAGGGGACGATTTGAAGCGATTCAAGACGACAATCGGGCCGCTCAAAAAATAAATCATCGGGGACAATCTGGTACATATCGGGCAGAATGGAAAAAACAATCCTTTTTGAAATGGGGGTATTAGGTTTAAATCTTAGGTTTAATGTTCAACAAAAGAAAGTGACTTTGAATTTCTGATTACATGGGAGATAACCTCTACCATTCTAGTTCTGGACCTATTCATGAGGACTCACACCACTAATTCATTTGCCATCTCTTCCCATGTTAAAACTCGAAATTCAACCTTCTACAACTTTTTCCATAAATCTCGTTGAAAGCTTTCAAATATGTCGAATGAAAGCCTGACCAAATCCTTAATGTCTCCGAAAAAATTCAATATATGATGACCATTCAAATTTTGAACTTGTCAAATTGAAAGTAGACTACTACCAGCTACACTCATCCGCTAGAGTTTGGCAGTTCACAAAAAGAATTATCCTTCAGCCTTTACGTCTCTCATCATCTCACCAAATCGTAAAGATAATGCAATTTCAGACATCAAATTCCAAATCTACACCAAAAATTACTCAAAAATAGGCATGCAAAAACCCCAAAAGGGAGAGAGAAAGAAATTTTTAAAATCATTTGCATAAATTGTTTTAGTGGAGTGAGTCCATCTACGATAGAAATGAAATGGACTTTGTTTTACAGCGTGACGAATGGATGTTCCAGTCGTACTGCTAGCTTCACAAAGTTATTGTGATATATGATCCAGTTTCCTATACAAAGGTAGCGACTTTATTGATGATAAGTATCTGCAAAATTCCCCGTCACTCCCCTATCAATGCACACAAGTCTGTGACATGACTGCATTGTGATGGCAAATGGATACTAGTGATAGAGACTTGTAGCAGTGATACAGATTAGGATCTTGGACGGGTTGGCCTTTAGGAATAATTGACGTCATTATTACGGTGTCTTGATTTCTCAGACATACTCCGGCAAGTCATTTTAAGTCTTGAAATCGCGAATTGGAAAACAAAATTGGAAAATTGAAAAAGAAATAACATGGCGCGCTTACTTTAATTCATGATTAAACTCGACACAGTGGGGTGGCTAAAATATGCTTTCTAAACGCATACAATAAATATAGTCACAAAATGTCTTGTTGAAAAATGAAAAGATTATTTATTTCATCATACATAATTAGAACATTCAAATTTTTTATTGCAGCAAGCGTCAAAAAAACGTGTTTTCCAATTTGCGAATATCAAGACTCAAAATGACTTGTTACAGAGGCAGAGGAGTCGGAGGATGTCGGAGAAACCAAGACACCGTCACTATTAGGTATCATTATGTTATAAATATCATCCGACCCTGTTTCTACATTTTGTAATGATATCTATCGACATCAGTGATGTCACAACTCCCATACATACGTACATAATGGAACAATGTATATTTCTTACTTTAAAAACTAAGAAACCAGTCTAGCGTTTTGTTATTATATGATTGATAAGAATCTGAAATAGAATAATAAATGAATATAAAATTGTTAGTTGTTCAGCGTTAAAATTCAAAGATATTTAATCATTCTATTTGACTGGATTACTCAACTCAACATCTTGAATGATATATACATTCAAATAATGATGAAAAAAAAATCCTTTATACAAATTGGTTATAGACATCTTGTGATAAAATTACCAAACTTATATACAAAATACAATAATATACATAGTTAACAGAAAAACAGTTTTGAAAATAGTAAATTTTACTATAGGTTAGTACAAGAAAATTCATACACACTTTACTTTATTATTCTACAGTAAAAATTGTAGAAAAGGATTAAACACGGATAGTTTACATTCAAATAGTAACAAAAACTAAAACGCCAGTTGTAACACCAGCTACTAACAAACATTGTTTTATAGAATTTTCTATTGAACCATCTTTATCATTACAATTTTCTATAATAACAGAATGAGTTATAAACAAAACATTGATGGAGCGCTCTTTCAATAAAGTTTAGCAGATTAAAGGGACAGTTGTGCCATATAATTCCTTTAAACATACTTCTAACTACGATTTTTACACACTACATCTATATATGTCTTTCCTATATATCACAGAGTATCTTAAGATGACGAGTCGTCATTTTAACATTCAAATGCGGATAATTCAGGACACACATGATTTGAAGGGTCAAATTTCGACGTTGAGATGTGAACACTATTACTGTTATTACTATTACTATTACTAAGATACAATTGTCAAAAAATAGCGAACCTGTCCCTTACTCCAAGTAATATAAGAGTAATTCTATAAATCTTAAAGGGATTGTAAAGAGGTTTTCTAGCCTTTTTATGTGTAAGGCTGGATTGTGGAAGAGTTCAATGATATTTAGCGCTCTAATTTGCACAAATATCATACAATTCTTCCATTCCGTTAAAACTAAGTAATATATAAAGAGTAAAAAGCAAAATCTGAATCAGTCGACAATTTTTAGTTATTAGTTATTTATTTAGTTTATTATTATGTTATTGTTGTCTGGTTCATTTCCGCTTAACTCTTTCTGGAAATGCAGGAACCACAGACATCGGGCGAAGAATTGGAATGCCGTAAATTGAAGTCAAATGTGTCACCGATACACATAAAAATAAAACCTGTTTACAATCCCTTAAATCTATAATCATTATAGTCTAAACAACGCCATTTTTTTTTCATCATAAACCGACAAATAATTATATACTCCAAATAATGATTTCTATATTATAACATTTTAGTGTGGATTCAGATTTAATTAGATTTTTGTGATGAATTTTTGACAGATAAGGTCTACCTCCCTGTAATCCACGTGAGAATTCAAAGAGATTCGTTTTCATTTCATTACAAAATTACAGCTTACTTTCGGATACTAACGGCATTGGATTCTTGATTCAGTAATAACTGCGCGCTTAGGATGATTCATG